TTGCGCATATTTTTGGCTTAAAAAGCTATGGATGTTTTGTTTCACAAACATGGGGTTGTCATAGACAGAACCTTTTATGAGTGTGGAATTTTAATATAAAAATTGGATGATCGACATTTGATTTTTCATATCTATGATAGTTTAATAAAGCTAATTCAATATTTCCTGTCTCTGAAGCTGACTTTATTCTTCATGAGTGGCTTATTTCATATTGTAATAGTATGGGTATACAATTTTTTTTTATATAAATCATATAATTATCAAATATATTAACTTGTATTTATTCTAGTTGATCAAGAAAAAAAAAAGGTAATAAAGCAAAGGCAAAGGGGTATACGTTGTCACTAAAAATAAAAAGTTAAACCTCCTATTAGAAAGAGTAATAATACTATAAATAATGTTAATGCTAAAAGTATTCTTGATCAAAGTGATACAGATAAGACTGATAATTCACAAGATTCTTTGAATATTAATCAAGAAAAAAATAAAGTTTTTAAGGGGAGCATGTGCAACTACCAAAAAAGAAAACTGTCCAACCTTCTATTAGAAGACATAATGATAATACAAATAATGTAAATAATGTCAAAAATACTCTTGATCAAAGTGACATGGATGAGGCTGATAATGCGCAAGACTCTTTGGATATTAATCAAGTAAAGAAAAAGAAAGTTACTGAAGTAAAGGCAAAGGAGTGCGCACTACCACCAAAAAAGAATGTCAAATGGCATAATGGTAACACAAATAGTATTAATATTGAAAGTGATTATGATCGAAGTGACACAGATGAAACCAATAATGCAGATTCTTTTAGTAATAACAATAATAGTAAGAACAATGCATGTATTTATATTTAGCAACCAATTTTAAGTCTAATTAGAAAAAATTATTTATTTTTAGTAAACTTTGAACAAGATAATATATATAAAGCTGCACATAATTCTAATACTTTAACCACCATAATTGACATTGATAATAATTCCAGTCAAGATGAATTATTAATACTTATGAAAAATAGATCGAAAAAGAATATTCAATGTCCTACGTGATCACATAATACAAAAATTAAAGTTATCCATGATCAAGATATTACAAGTAAAAACAAAGGTACGTACATATGCATGTACAAAACTTTAGATCTGTGATGAATGTTACTAAAAAAAATCAGGTTTTAAAAATAAATAGATAAAAATGATATAATTCCTTCGGATAATGTATCATCATCACTAAAGAATATTCTCGAAAATATGATAATGTCAAAAATGCTAAACACAATGAACAAACCGCTGGCATTTTGAATGAAAATGGTATGTAAGAATACTGTTAGAATAAGTGTTATGTTTTTTCTAATATCACATTATATAATTTGCTTTATTTTATATAGATGGAAAGAGAAAAAGGAAGCAGAAGGCAAAAGAACCTTTCTTCGCATAAAGCAAGAGTTACAAGGAGAACCAAGAAAAGTAAAAATTAAAAACTTTATATTTTATTATATGCGTGTTCACTATATATTATGATATATTACAAATAAATTCTAGCTTTTATCCATGCAAAAAATATATATATATACCTTTTTAGTTCAGTAAAGTTTCCATATTACTTATATAAGTAATATTATATATTCTCAGTGAATTATCCGTAT